AGATCATCAGAAAATGCCATGTTCGTAATGATGATGTTCCATGATCTTAATCCATAATGTTCGGGTGACTTTTGTCCGTTGAAACTTAAACATATATGTGGAAGATACTTGATTATTAATCCTTTTCAATTAAGTGAATTGTTTGTAAAAATTAACGATCTAGCCTTTCAAAAAAAAAAAAATGACATTATTGTATCAATAATAGATACGTCACAATTTTACGTGTATAAGAGTGAAACTCAATTAAATTCTTATGCCTCGTTCATTTCGTGAATTCGAGTTTTTAATTCGAGCTGAGATGTGACATTTTGTGAGAACTTTTCACTGTAACAGAAAAAGTTAGATGTGATATTTTCTGAGAGTTTTTTACTGTGAAATAAACGAGCTTAACCATTAAAAAAATAACCTTTTTACATTACTCATAGATTTTGGCCTAAAACAAAGAAAGAAGAAAGAAAACTAAAATTGACTTTCCTCTGTTTTGCGTGGGCAATCAATAAATTTTTAGTTTGATAAGTTCAATCACATATAGTAGTTCTCATACCACGACATAGATTCACAAGGCAAAACTTTCTAAAATCAAATTTTCCACTTTTGATATAAGATTTAACAAGTTTCACTTTTAATGTCGTTTTCTAGTATAGCATGAATTTGTACTTGAACATTTATAAACACCGGAGATATTGCTTCTTTCACAAAGCGAAACTAATATCAAGAAGTTGTGTAATTTCATATTCAAACGTTTTCAAATCAATGTGATACGTTACAAGTGTCACCCCATTAATAATGAACAGGATAATGCATGGGGGAATTTATGGCTGTTATTCTTGTCAGAAACCATATAAATAAATTTAAAAAGAGTGCAATAATAACAAGTAAATAAAAATGTTACCACAACTCACAACCCAATAGTTTCAAAGATAAATAAAATTCTAAAAAGGGTAAAATAAAATAAAAAAAGAAAACTCAATAAAAAGCAATTCGTGGTTATTTATTGGATTCCCCAAAAATTTTCTAAAATAGAGGGTGTAGCATACACGTGAGAAGGGCATTATTGTCAGTTCATTAACTTGACCCTTTTGAGGAATCTCCGACAAATAACCCCATAAAGAATATGAGTTCACTGTAACACGTCTGAAATGGAAAATAAAAAAAACAAAAAAACAAAAAAAAGTAAATAAATAATTAAAAAAAAGAAAATCTTTAGCAAGATCCGGAGGCAGGATTTTGGATTCATTTGGCGCAAAACATCACGGCCACCACGTCCAGTCCCTCCAATTTTCATTTCGCCGTTATCTAACGCCGTCAAAAGCCCCCACCGTCCGTACCTACAAGCCTTTGACCATGCAGTGCCTAAACACGCGTTGAAAAACGATAAGAAAAAAATAAATACAAAAAATAAATAGTATTTATAAAAATAGTTAATTTCAATAATAACACTCATAAATAAATGATTATTAATTTTAACACAATTTTTATATAATTTCACAATTAGTATTATCATGTAGTAAAAGTGGGACCACACTATTTTTACTTGAGTTAAAATGACAATTATGCCACATTTCAGTTTTAAAGCCTTAAATATATATTATGAAGCATTTTACAATTCAAATATTCAAAGTAGATAGAGGAGGAGGAGAACGAACCCGGATGTGCATAGAGACCAAGAAACCCCAACAACCACCACCGTCTACCAATGTCTACCACCTTGAACACCAACGAACTCACGACAACGAGCACCCACGCAGTGAGAACCTACGAACCCATAATCACGCGACAAGAACTCACGAACCTTCACCGGAGAAATCAACGCCTAACCCATAAGCACGAACCAAGGAAACCTCACCCTCCTAACATTCTTCGCCAGAGAAATCAACCACGTAACATACGAGATCAATGGCGAATTCTAAGACAAAGGTGAAAACTTTGTTGGCTTTTCTTGTTTATTTGTTTTTTTTCTTAGGTATTTATTATTATTTTTCTGTTACCATTTGTTGTCATCTTAGAAGAAAAGAAAGGCTTTGGAGGAGGAGATAAAAGCATATAAGGTTAGTTATTTGATTTTTTTTATTGTCATTGTGCTCCTTATTTGGTATGTGACTCTGCTTGATGGTCGGTCATATCATTATGACCGGTCAGTAATTGTATTATGATCGGTTATAAGACAGGTACAACGTGCGGTCAGAGTACTATGACCGATGGTCATAATTCTATGACCGGCTATCAGGCAAGCAGGCTCATAATGTGACTGCTTGACTAATGAGCCTACGGTCATAGCATTATAACCGTCAGTCATAGTATTGTGGCCACACTATATGACTGTCTTATGACCGGCCATCAGTCATAACACTGTGAGTGAGCCTGCATGATGGGCGGTTATAGAATTATGACCGTCGATCATAGTACTATGACCGCTCAATGGTAAGACTCTTAGTGTGCCATTCATAGTACTTTGGTTAACAACTTTGTTTGCTTTTCTTATTTTTTTTTTTTGTTGTATTTATTGTTTTTTTTTTTTACCATTTTTTGCCATTTTAGAAGAAAAGAAAGACTTTGGGATAAGAGATGTCATTGATTGAATGTGACATCATAGTCAGACGATATATTCACAAGAGCTTCCCCGTCTTCAACAACATATCTTAAGGATAAATTTTTTCCTTGTGGCTGAATCCCAAGCACATTTATCACCAAATCTATAAGGCCAATATAAATTATGTTGGTGGGGACCAATATCCCCTTAATTTTACAACCGACGTATCTCAAAGTACGGTCCCAATATCCATTGTACTTAATGAAGACGTTTAATCCATCAGTCATTCCTAAATAATTTAAAAAACAATAACTGTTAATCAACATGTAATTACTCCTAGTCGTCATCGAGTCATTAGAAATGGCCAGTCATAACACTGTGTGATGGCCGGTCATAAGGCAGTCATAGTGTGACAGTCATAACATTATTCTTATGGGTCATTTAACTATGATTGCCTTACAATCATAATACTATGACCGGTCATTTTGACTCATATTGTTATAATTTGACTCATAGACAGTGACTCATACTATTATAACTGACTGGTCATAATATTATGACTGGACATATAACACCATAAGTCATAATACTATGACTCTCAAGGTCAACTGTGTCTTTGACGTGTTGATCGTTATAATCAATTTACATATAAGTTATAAACCATCTAAAATCTCAAATTGACGAAGGATATTTTCAATACCTATCACATTAAGTTCAACCCAGTCATTTTTTTCAAGTTCTATATATTAAGTCTCCCGAAAAATAAATTTAAAAAGACAAAAATAAAAGAAAAACAAAAAAAATGTGTACTAACCTTGATCTGTGCACAACCGGAGCATTGACAACGAGGGAGGCGTAGGGAAGAGAGAGACCGAGTAGAGAGAGAGGCCAAACTCGAGAGAAAGAGAGAGAGAGCTGAAAACGGGGTGCAGAGAGAGAGAATGGGTGAGAGAGAGAGTTGAGAGTTTCTTAGAGGTGCTTTTAAATAATAATTTTGACTTAAGTGACATAAAAATCATTTTACCTCACATTGCTAACATAACAATACTAGTTGTGAAAGTATACAAAAATGGTGCTAAAATTAATAATACTTTATTCATGAGTGTTTTTATTGAAATTAACCCTTATAAAAAAGCAACTCCACTTAGTTATTTTTTTTAATTAATTGATGATTTCTTTATCTAATAATTCATTAATTAATAATATGCTGTTATAATACTAATACTATAATACAGAAATGTGAAGCATGTATAATTATAATTATTTTAATATATAATAAACACGCTTTGAGCGCTCGATCAAATTAGTTGGGCCAAGGTTCTAATATTTTTTTTAGTGAGTTAATATAGCTATTGAAAGCTCATTTAGACCGATAAAAAAATTAATCTGTTGTGATACCTTTTTCAAGGCCACTTTATATGTCAAAATGTTTGTTATATTGGACACAACTATCTCAACTATATGATTCTCTTTTTAAGGTAGCTCAACCACATGATTTAAATGTTTAAGGTATAAAATTCTCTTATTAAATCAAATTAAGCTTTAATTTGTGTAAGTTGAACTCCAATAATTGACTTTTCTTTTTTTTTTCCCCCCTTTTTGAGCGGCCCAAATAAATAGTATTATCAGTATAAATAACTCTATTATCAGGCTAACCTAATTTTATGGCAATTTTGTCCACTCAAGATATTAATTTAATTTAAAATACAATTTTCCCATCAATAGATGATTAATGTTAGTGGTATCAATTTCATTTCAACTTTTTTATTGATAAGTGATTACAAAAATTTACATGAATTGATGTTAAAAATATTGTGTCTGTCATTAAAAAAACGGAAAACTCACTGTCATATTAGTTTGGTATAAAAATAAATAAGGATAAAAATTGAAATTCTTTTTTTTTGTGAATAAATTTTTAATGCTTAAAACTACTATTAAAAAAAATCATATTACTAAAAAAAGAAAACGCACCGTCATATCAATTGGAATAAAAATAAATCGGGATAAAAATTGATTTGTGAAGAAATTTTTTAATGTTTAAAACTAGTCTTAAAAATAATCCTTCTAATTGTGACATATGCAGCAAAAATCTTTAGAAAAAGATATTTTTGCGCACTAATTTAATTACATCATCACAATCATCATAACACTAAAAAACATTTTAATAAAATTTATTAGTGGACGTTTAATTTATAAATTTATAATTATTTTTAATTTATATATATTTTTTATAAAAAAATATTATAATAAATTATAAATTATAATTTAAATCATAACATAAATCTTCCTATCAAACACCTCTTAACAACTCTAATCTCTTTATTACAAAACAATGCTCAAACAATATAAGAAAAGTCAGAAAATAGAAAAGAAAGAAAGAAAAAGAATTTAGGATTTGACGGCGTTTGAAACCGAAGGAAGCGGGTCTATATATATCGAAACAGAGTAAGCATATAAAACAAAAAAGAGACCGAAAACAGTTTTTGGAGAACCTCAACTTGAGGGGTAAAGGGAAATCGTAGAACAAAAAACGTATTTTTAGAGAGAGAGAAACAGTCTTGGAGAGAGGGAGAGAGAGAGAGAGAGAGAGGAAAACGAAGAAGAAGAAGAAGAAGAAGAAGAAGGAAAAGGGCGTCGGAGATCTTGTCAGATCGGAACCGGAACTGTAAGCGGAACCTCTCGCATTCTTTCTATTGGTGTTGAATTTGCAATGCGCTTCTCGATCTCTTCCATTTTTGCCATGGATTTCAGCCCTATGCTGCTTTGTTTTCAGGCCGTTTCTTTTTCCTCTTTCTGTTTTGTTTTTCTTTTGTTTCTTCTGTTTTATCCATGTACTTCAGAAATGAAGCTCTTTTGCTTTTCCTCTACGTTTTTTTTTTTAAATTATTTTTAACTTTTGCACCCTCTGTTTCTCTTGGTTTTTTCCCCCCTTTTCCCCCTTTTCCTCTGATTTTTTTAATAGCTAAAGAGGTGGAAGTTTTTCCAGTTTTTCCAAATTTTAGGAGACGTGAATACTAATAATTTGGCTCAGGAATTAATTAAAAAGTGTCTTTTTTTTTGTTTTTATTTTTTGTTTTTTGCAATGATTTGATTATGGTTTTTCTGTTATTGATTCCTCGTTACAGATTAAAAACCTGCTCTCCTCTAAAAAATGACAGGAGTTGTTTTTTAAATCATAAAAGAAAAAAAAATAAAAACTTGGTCGAAGCTTGGGGGCCTTCCTTTGATTTTGTTACATGATAAAACTTCCATTAAATCTTGTAATTATGTATTATTCGATTTCAGCCTTCTCTTTCTTTTTTCTTTTTTTCTGGGTTTTTTCATCTGATCAAAATTTCCCATTTATCTGTTGAACAATTTCTCGTCTCATAGGTCCTAATCAACATGATAATCCCTGAAAATGAGTAAATTTGAAATTTTCTTTAGCTTTTTTCATATCTCTCTTTGGACTCTCGGTTTGTCGTTTTGACTTCCTTTTGAGATTTCATTCGGAGTTATAGCTTTTGGATTTTCAAACTGAAAAACAAGCTACAAAAGACTAGAATTTATTTGTTTTCCCAACTTGTTTTGGGAAAAGTTCCAAACAATTTACGATGCCAGAATTCCAAGTTCTACATCAGTTAGAGGAGCTCCAACGCAGTGTTTTACCAGATCTACACGGCTCTTTTTAAGTTTGGTAGACTAAATTGTGGCATAAATAAAAGAAAAACATAAGAAGCATGCTTGGAAAATGGTTTTTTTTTTTTTTTAATACCCAGAAATCTCCCGAACCCACTTCGTGAGTCCGAGTTAGAAACTGGAGAACTCTACAATCTTTTGGAAGGCAGGAAAAAATGGGTTGGTTTTTTACCAATGATATTTGGATGTTTTCCCCAATTAAGTTGGGATTAAGGCTTGTTGTTGTTGTTGATATTTGGATGTTTGCTTGTTTTCATGTTGTTATCGTCCAATAAGGCATAAGCTATCTGTTGTATCTTCCAAATTTTACTTTAAGGTTTTATTTTTATTTTATTTATTTTTAATGAGTTACTTTTAAGGTAATTTGCTATATTTGTCTGTCACCATCCAGTGATTTACAGTCTTTTCAATTGTTATGCAAAACTCTATATGATATGAGTTGCTTGCTTTAGGTGGCCTTTCCTGCGTCATCTGTCTCTTGAGAAAATGTCAAAAGTCACCGTCTAGTTTCCAATAAAATATAGCTTGTATGATGAAGCCTTCGTGTATTTAAAGGATTTTTAAGTAAAGAGGCTGTATCTGGCATTGTCACTTGGATAAGATGGTGGATATAATGTTTTAAGGTGCAATGTTTAAGTATGTTTGACGGTTTTGATTGTTTTACTACGGATTGAAAAACAATATCACCTGTATTTACATTGTTTTGAGGAACTTTGAACCTCAGGAATACTATTTGGGATTTTTTAATAGCATATAAAAAGCGTTTTTTGTCTTTAACTATATTACTTTTGTAAAGCATGAGACGCTTGACCTGTAACCTTTTTGTGCAGTGTAATCAGTAATGGGAAGGGAACTTTCTGGTTTACAGATGGAGAAGAAGCCAAATGGCATTTCTCATGATAGAGTTCATGTTGCTCCGAAAATATCGGAAGATAGCTTTGAAGCAAAGGACTATGATGTGAAGGAATGTACAAAAGAGAACTCAGTTGTTGACAAATGTCATGAAGAACAAGTAGTTTTGGGAGTCAAAAGCATAAATCTTGACGAGGGCCTGAGTGAGGGGAAGAATGAGAAATCTGGAACTCAGAAGTCAAGAGACACTAAAATGTCAAGTTCGCCTGCTTCAAAATCTCCGGTTTCTGGAAATGGGCGTAGCAAATGCACTGTGCCTCAGCCATTTTCTCTGGCAACTGAGAAGCGTGGCTCGTGCACGCATTCTGTTGGGCTTGAAACTGTAGCTTCAGCATGTGCTAATTATGTGCTCTCTCCTAGTGCTACAAAGACTATACAGATACAGGTGATAAAATCATTGATTTTTGTCTAATATATTTTATCATTTTCTTTTACGAGGTATATAATACCAGTATAACCCAAGCAACCGCCGCGCCACTGGAACTTGTCTTTTTATATTTTAACATCCTGAATTTCATGTGTTTTTTCCCGCAATGAATATTGCTGCATTTTTTTTTAAATGAGGTTTGAGCTTTGTGGTAATAGTGTTAGCAGCTAATATGGTTTTTGCGGCATAAACTGCAAGATAGAAAATAAAAGATTGTTCTTAGTATTGTGTTAAATATTTTATTTGGGGATGAAATTGATATGCAGTCTTTTGCTCTTATTTTCAGCCAAACTCTCCTTTAACATCCCGGAAGCCATTCCAAAAGCATGCTGATGAAGAAGACAATTGGTCTGTTGCTTCCTCGTATCCTTTGTTTGATTGAAAACAGTTGCTTAGAAGTGAGCTCTTTAATAATATCACGTGGTCGGAATTTATCTTCATTACCTAAAAGTTTAGATTATTCCTTAACCATGCATAGTACTGCTGCATCTGTTCGAACAACAAAATCCAAGGTTACTGTTGGACACGCTCCAACTTTTAGATCCTACAAACGTGCAGAGAAGCGGAAGGAAGTAAGTCTTCAAATATAACGAGGAACAATGATATATATTCAACAAGTACCTTTTTAGTTATTTTTTTATGTGTACTTTGGTGTAATTGTATCGAATATGATACATTGCATTTTTTTTAGTTCTATTCCAAGTTGGAGGAGAAACACCATGCTCTAGAAGCAGAGAGAAGTCAGTGTGAAGCAAGGACCAGGGTATGTTAATGCCTCTAGTATTTTTAATTAATTATCGTGGTCTCAAGTGCATGCCTATGTACTTGTACTTTTCTTTTCTTTCTGGAATTTTTGTTGCAAATCGACATCATTCTGTCTCAACCCATCAATAAAGCAGCTCTTTTTTTTTTTTTTTTTTTCTCTAATTTGATCTTTTATGAATATTTTAGGAAGAGCAAGAAGAAGCAATCAAGCAGCTAAGGAAGAGTTTGGTGATCAAAGCAAATCCAGTACCTAGTTTCTACTATGAGGGGCCTCCACCCAAGGTGGAGCTCAAGAAGGTATCCTATCAAATTTTCTTGTGAGGTTATGTATCTTTTGAGTTTCAGGCATACTGAAATTGTTGGAGTTTTCTGGTGCAGAATTGGGAGAATATGAAATCAATGGGAATATATATTATTGCGCTGATAAAATCTATTTAAAAGTTTACCTAATCTTTGTAGGACTAGGATGTTTCTGCACTGCTGAAGGTGGCCTATAATCCAAGTCTTTTCAGAGCAATGTTTTACCATTTATGAAATACATCTCCTTATTGTCTTTTGAAGCACAACTACTAAGGAATTCTTAAAACTAGAATCAATCCTGTAATGCTGCGGTTGTGTTGTGCATCGTTAAGCTTATCCAAATGATTCTTGATCTGTTCAACTTTGGAAGTTAAAATCTACTTCTTTTTGTGCATATGATTGCAGCTGCCACTGACACGGCCCAAGTCACCCAAGCTTAACAAAATGACCCGGAGAAAGAGCTGCAGCGATGCAGTCATTGCATCACAGGAGGAAAAGGAAAGAGCTGCTCGGGTACAACGCCACAGCCTTGGTAGCAACAAAGAAGGCACCGCCTCCACTCCCAAAAGTAAGGGCCCGAGCAGTAGACGTAATGGTAGTGAGCCTAATGGTACCTTGAAAGTCAGAGATCGATTCAAGCAGGAAAATGGGGCGACAAAAACAGCTCCTCCAAAGATTGCCGACCAGACTAATGTAGACATTGCTGTCCAGTCGTGAAGTTGTAGCTTGTCATCTGATTCAAGTGAGGGAATTCAAAAAAAAGGCCTTGAATTTGCTAAGTTATTACCTCTTGGGTGTTCTGAAAGGAAATAGCCTCTTTCTTTTCGCCTGAAATGACTTGTTATGTGGTTTGTGTTGTTGTGAAATGTATATGTTTTGTAATCGACTTTGGCACTGGTAAATATCTTGTCATATATAAGTAGAGTCCTCCATTCTAAGTACGGACCATAAATGTATTCATCTGATCTGTCGTCTGAGAAAGTAGAGTTGCTGTTTGCAGTTTTGTTCTTGTTAGGTATAAACTCTAGTGTGTGGTGAACTTGAAACTCTTGTCACATTCACTCTTCTTTTTTTTTTTTTTTTGGCCCTTCCCTTCAACGCATAAACTTGTTTGCTAAATACTTGTATTTTTTGATAGTGTCAAATGATGTAGAATGTTAAGTTCTTCCATATGTTTTCGAGGTTCTAACTCATTCTCAAAATATTATTTTTACATCTATCTTTTTTACTAGTTTTGCGTTATAGACAAATTTAAAAAAACATAATATGAAACGAGTTTATTTGGAGAAGAGCATTGTAATATATCGTCTCTGATGACCAATGACTATGGCTAACAACGTTTCAACTCATCACAAATTCACGTGTCCACAGAATTACATGTCAATCCGTAGTAAGTTTTAAAAAATGTATGTAAATAATTAAACAATATTGTTCAAGCAAAAGAAAAAAAAAAGTGAAAAAATATTGACGATGCTTCCATCTGGAGAAAGGAAGATGAGACATGTTTGGAAACTTTTCTCTGAAGTTAATTATTTTAAACTTTATAAAGCTCGTATAATTTTGGCACATGTACAGTGAAACATAACAAAATTACTCGTCCATTCATGACGTGAGTTATAAAATTTCACTTGTGCATTCATGTTGTGAAGCATAAAATTTTCTAAAACTTCAGAGATATTCTCCAACTCTAGTCACTGTCCAATAGAGGAACATCACTTTTTTTTAATAATAATAAAAAAACAAATTAATCCAATTTTACCAGTAAATTATCTAGATTTCAAATAAATGGAAAAAATTAGTGAACTCACCCTTTAAATGTATTGTTTTAAAATTTATTATTAATTAATATACTTTTAACTAATATAATTTTTTAATTAAAAGATATTAATGAAGCGAAAGAATTTTCCCTTTCCAAGGCCACAACATGGTCAAAATTGTAGAAGATGGGCTTGACTCTTGAGGCCCAAGTGCTCAAAGCTATAGACCGTACATGTAAGAATCTGATTTTGAAAAAGAAAATCCAACAAAAAGTCACTAGTTCCGAGTTCAAAGCTCAAATCCAAAAATTGGTTTTCAAAAAAAAAAATCTCTCAACTGAAAACAACATGCTCTGCTCAGCTCACTTCAACGTTCCCTCCTCTCTCTTCCTCAGACCCCTCAACACTTCCCAACTCACGACAACACCAAACTTTATTACAACTCTTCGCAGAGCAAATCCAACAATAACATGCAATTCCCAACCCAGTCCCAAGCCTAGAAAACGACCCGCCATGGATGGCCAAAAGCCCACCTCCAGAAACCGCAGGAAATCATCGTACGGCGCTTCTAGAAGGTCCATTCTCAAGAAAACCTTCACCCAAGAGCAGGTCAACTTCACCGCCCCTGTCTCCGACGACCCAGTTGTCGGGATTATTGGCGGTGGCATGGCGGGCTTGCTTTGTGCTCTCAATTTGGAGACACGTGGTGTCCGCTCCACGGTGTTCGACACGGTAATTGGTTAGTTATCCCTTTTTAAAACTGTTTTTTCAACATCGGTTTTTGTTAATTGTTGAGTATTTGTGAGTTTAAGAATGTGGGTTATTTTTGTTTGTTTGTCTGAAGTTATTTTTGTGACTTCAACTCCCAAGTTCCAAGTTAATGTTGTTACAGGTCCATATTTTATCTTCATTTTCTTATGATAGCACGGTTAGGCGCATATTTCTTAGTATAACTATAGATAATGGAGTATATTTTGTGAATTTTGAGAAGGTTAATGCTGTCCGAAGTTATACATCATTTTTAGTTTTCTTATGAATCTTTGCCTTTTTTGTGAGGGAATTGATTTCATAAACCTTTGATTTGGTGTACAATAATTTATTTCTCTGTGGGCTCATATGCTATTCCAGCGGTGAATTAGAGGAATAACAAGTTTTAGAGAATTGGTATTTAAATATACTAATTTGTGGAAGGATGTGGTATAGGAGAATAACTAGTCTTCATTTTCAGGGGATTCATGGTTTAGGAGGAAGAATGGGAACCAGAATAATTGATCCTCAGCCCCTAATATTTGACCATGCGGCTCAATTCTTTACTGTCAGCGATCCTCGGTTTGCTGAGCTGGTTCAGGGTTGGTCCGAGGAAGGTCTGGTGAGACAATGGCTTGGTACAGTGGGAGAACTTGAAGCCGGAGGTCATTTTGTTCCACTTCCTTCTTCTCCTCCAAGATATGTAGCTGTCAATGGAATGCGTCTCCTTGCTGATTCGATACTCTCGCAGGTGAAGTAAATTTGTTCACTTTTTCACTTTCAGGCTTTTTGTTATTCTTGTTGTAGTTCACATGTGGTAGCTTATTGAAATATCGAACCTTGGTTGCAGACACGCATGATTGATGTGGTGAGGCCGTGCTGGATAAGCAAACTCGAGCCATATAACGGGATGTGGTACTTGAGTGAGAATGGAAAACCTCGTGGACAGTTCGACGCAATTGTTATTGCACATAATGGTAGCGCGACTATCATGCTTGTGAATTTTGTTTTACAGATGTTAGTTATACCACTGTAGGTTTAGCTAGAACATGCTTAGCAAAAGAGAGATATAGCTAGTGGTCATTTAGTTTTTTTGTGTCGCCAACAGGAAAATGTGCAAATCGCTTGCTTGCATTATCGGGTTTACCACTAATTGCAAGACAAATGAAGGTACATATACTTGAAGCACTATGTTGAGTTTATGTGATGCAAAATACGAATGTTCCTTTATATTATCGCTTTTCAAAATGGTTGAGCAATTCTCTTACTTTTTTTATGCTTTTCATTGTCGGTCGGTTGTTTGAGGTGTTGCCAGAGGCTGGAATTGAGTTCTATATGGGCGCTTCTTGCGGCATTTGATGATCCTCTTCCTGTTCCTGGGAGT